GTTCTCTCTCTCTCTTTCTCATTCTCTCTCTCTCTCTTTCTCATTCTTTCTCTCTCTCTCTCCTTCTCCTTCTCTCTCTCTCTCTCTCCTTCTCATTCTCTTTTCTCTCTTCTCACTTCCCCCTTTTCTCTTATTTCTATACCATCCCTCATTCATAAACATCTATATCTTCGAATGAATTCATGCGAAATGTCTAAAATGTAATACGTCTCATTACCACAGGAAGAGTGTGCAGGCACCTGTGTTGCAGAGAGGAATTGCAACATTCCGCATGGAAGAGGCTCATGTCCTGATAACAAGGTCTGCTGCCTCGGTAAGTATCTGGCTTTTGATTAAAACTTACTTTTCCTAGTTTTCTCTTCTCTTTCTTTCTCTGATAAAAAAGAGAAAAAAAAGTGGGAACATAATGACCATATTTTATTCAACCACAATTCAATTCAGCCGTGGAAACTATTTTTGTTTCCTTTCCGTCAACAATCATTGCAAATGACAATACAAACATAAAGGACACCTATCCTTCCATGATCAACTTACAAATACCTAGAAATAAATCGCTTAAACCGTTTTCCACATTTCCACCCATTAACATACCATCCGAGGACTAACTACTCCATTGTTCATCCTTACAGAGGTGGAGCTAACCCCGCGTGCAGGGAATTGCAGTCTGAATGAGGGACAATGTCCCAGTGCCGGTGGATTTTGCAGAATGAGGTGCAGAGGTAAACCACAACTCGAGGCGACGTGCGGGATTAAGAATTGCTTATGTTGTGATTGTAAGTAACATGTAATTATGCATACTCGGATATCAAGAAAAACACTTTATACTTGTTCCTGCACACATGGGAGCCACCGATTCATAATCTATGTATAAACTTGAAACCGGAATATTCTCTGGGGAAACTAATCGTATACTATTTCATCTTACAGTGTGCAAAGGCAAAGAAAAAAGAAAATGCAAGAAATATGGCTTTTGTACACGAAAGCAGAATGGGGACCAACAACAGTGTTCAAATAATGAAGTTGTCATCGAAAAGGGCTGTAAAAGATCAAAGGACTGTGTATGCTGTGCAAGTAAGCTGCCAGAACTTTTTTCTTGAACAGGTTCAAAAATAGCAATATGCACCTATAAAGAAACGCACTAACTTAGAATATAGATATGTATGAAAATGACATTTAGTACATCAGATAAAAGAGGAAACCACCAAACAAGTTATATTTCATAAATTATTAACCATTGAATTAAGAGACTAATATATACTCAACAGCAGATAAATGATAGATATTTTATTTTAGCAATTTGGCTTTAGTTTAATTCGTCATGGACGATCAAAGACGATATTTCTTTATCAATTCTATTTTCATTTTAAATCATAAATAGGGTGTTTCGTGTAAATGTTGATTGTTGCTTCCTAAGGGAACTTTAACCAGGCATAAAATATCAACTTTATATATGGTAGGTGTTTATTGTAATTTTCATTTACGCCGTTTTTCTCTCTCACAGACTGCCAAGGCACTGAGAGGAAAAAATGTTCGAAAATAGGCGGAAAATGTTTAAAAGAAGCAACTCATAAAAGAACAGAAATGATTGAAAAAGGCTGCAAGCTTTCCGAATGTACCTGTTGGGCTATACCTTGCAAGGAACTGCAAGAATGTACCGATGCAAAGGGGACATGTGTCAGAAAAGAGAAGGACTGTCCAAGTGGTATACTGGAGAAAAAATACTGCAAAGGGAAAAAGTGCAAATGTTGCCTTCCTCAAGGTCGGACTCTAATCAGCATTCTTTCTTTCCTTAATGGTCTAAGAATCTGTAGGACTAAAAGACATCGTGAAGTCAATTGGATTTACCTAAAATTCTTCCTTATCCATTATGTTAAAAATGTCTGAGAATTTATTTATTTTTTTTCTCTCGCCAGCTTCAACGACCACAACCACGGATCCTACAACAAACACAAGCACATCTATGGCTTCAACGACATAATCACAATCAAATCTAAAGGCATCGCAGAAATCGTTTTTACAACCGCAACCGTAACCTTGGCTTGGTTGTGACTCGGAATCACAACCCTAACACGACCTTGTCTCTTCCAAGCATTGGCTTATACAGTCACAGCCCCAGGCTCTTACAAACACAGGCTACGGAACTCAAGCAAGCACTTCTCTGACTCTGGAAAAGGAGACATATGCCCTAGATCTGACACAAGAAAGAGAGAACATGAGCAGCGATCACGTGATCAATTCCGCCGTCCAGAGAGGATCAAGACGATGCTGCTGCTGCTGCTTTGTATCAATGTTAACGTTGATCAGAATCGCCGCTGTTATTATCAGTACGGTTGCTATTAGTATCATCAATACTGTTGCTATATTATCATTTATTACTATTAATATAATTATTATAATTATCATTATTAGTAGTAGTATCGCTATCATCATTAGCATTACTGTTATCATAATTATCACTATTATATTTGTATCACCATCATTATTATGGCAATCATTATTATTATTATTATTATCATCTTCATCAGCAGTTTCAAGTCCTTCATGTGTTTTGCACAGAATGAATTTTACAAGCATTTTCACCGGTTATTATGACTAATTATCAATTTTACTTCCATCATCTTAGTATTTGTAGTTATAAACACTAATAAAGTCGACTATGAGTACAAATGCCTTTTATTTTGACTATGGAAGTTCTAGGTTGTCAGTTTATTTACACTGAGAATGAATATCTTAATACAAGGGGTGCATTTTACCGGTTTCGATTATATCTTCGTCAGAAGTACATATATCAAAGGAATTACAGAGTATATATACCAGATATGAGCTCACGAAACACCTGACTACTGTGACCTCCCACTCGCCTGTATAATTACTGCCGCGAACTTGGATAGTTTGAATCTGCCCGATGCCTTGTTGACATTATTCTCCGTCAGGATTGTATGTAGCTTTCATGATTTTTCTTTTCTGTTTGTTCAGTCCTCCATGGCCTATTTCTGCTTCTTTCCAGTTGGGCTGATATCCAGCTTCATCTATATGCACCACCATGGCGTTGGAAGTCTATGGTGATGGATGTCACCTCGATGTTTGCTGATCCTGGTGCTGAAACCACGGCCTGTTTCTCCTAAGTATACTGTATCACATCTGCTACAGGATATGCGATATACAACACTGTTAGGGTTGCTTTCGGGCTGCTTCTTGTCTCGTATTATGTCATTTATATTTTTCCTGTATGTACTGGCGATTTTCACTGCATTGCCGAAGTATCTGCTGATCGCCTGGGAAATGTTACACGGCGGTAATATGAGAAAACGATTAGAATAAGGTGCAGGGTCTGATCTCGCGAGTATAATCGCCTTCTTTCTGATGTTTAGTAGGAAGCCTCTAGGATATTTATGTTTCGCAAACACATGGTAATTTGACAAGTAATTTCATGCCTAATGCATATTAAGTACACAGTCACAAGTAATATCTTTTTGGAATGATATATCAACTGTAACTTGTAACAGACTGATGGACAAACGGAACACAAACGCAATTGTGATATGTTGTAGCAGCCACGACCCACAAACTGCACGAATCGGCTCAAATATTTCCCTGGCTGCGTCATACCAGGTCCAACAGCCTTGTCCTCGTTCTTTCACAAGCAGGCACTTCTCGCGACTCCATGCCGAGACCTGTCTAGTTGACAAGGACACCTCTCGCCTCTCATTGGACTGCAGATTCTATACACTTCGATTTCCCCTCAAGTGCTCAGTCACGAAACTAATTACAAATCTTACCTCTCCTCTACTCTTTGCTTTGATTTTCGGAAATATTCTCTTCTACCTTATATCACCATTAGTAATGTTATTGTTTATTACAATAGCATTAGTAAAATATAGAATCTCCACTTATCACTGTTACTACTACTATAATCACTACCATTATTACTCTGGTTAATATTACTACTACTCTTGCAACTACCGTACTACTGCTGCTACTTCATTTGATAGTCCATCAAAATGATGACCCTCTCCTTGATAATGATGCATGGCCAGGTCAAAGGTTATAATAGTTTAGTGGTGGGGAGCCAACGTCGTCCCCATTGGCTTCACTGGTGGTTCCGGCACATGGCACATCACCGGGAATGGGCACTCTGTGCCCGCTCCTTGAGTTCTTCCTGGCTATGGGTACGCTGATCCTCATAGACCGCCAGGCACTCCAGTCGGTTACATGCTGTTCCAAGTTGTATGGGGGGGATATTGCTCGGCTTAAGGTCACTTGCAGATGGAGTGTTGACCAGAAGCAAAAGGGTGCAAGGAAATTGTCAATCTTCCATATAGTAGACATGGTCTACCCATCATAACTGTGGCTGGATAAATTGAGCTTCAACATTAAGGCAGTCTCCACTGTGAAGAATTGTAACATGGGGGACTTGGTCCATTCAAGTGAGTCCAAGGTTCTGCTGAAGACGAATGCTGAAAGCCTCCAGGCTTTTAAAGTGAACCCTATATAAAGTCCAAGCTTTACAGCCAGTGTTTTTTGTGAGGTAGTAACATGATTAAGGAAGATTAAGGTGTGATAGGAAATTAAAGGCAAATGATATGAGTCAGATACTATATTGGATTTCGTTGTCAATGTTGCGAGATGAAGAGGGGATGCTTCCTACATAGACGAAGCTATGGACCTGCTTAATGTCTTCAGTTCCAAACTTAAAGGTAATAGAGGGAAGCTCATCATCAACAACAACACACTGACAGAGAACTTCCGTCTTCCTGGCATATATTATTAGCTCAGTGCTGGTGTGATTGTTGGTGCTGTATGGCTGAAGGCATCCTCAGCAAACTGTAAATCAAAAGCAGTTGCTGTTCATGTCATAATGGTAGCCTTTAGCTGCCGAAGATTGAAAATGCTGCCGTCGAGACGGTACCGGATGGTAATGCCATCTTCCAAAAGAGGCATGTTACTGGTGCTAGACAGATGTTGAAGAGGGTTGAGGCAAGGGCAGAGCCCTGCTTCAA